TAATATAGATATTAAAAAGAAAAAAAAAAAAAAAAGTAAGAAGAAAAAACAGTGTGACAATCATTTCTGAGTAAAAAACAACACTACAAAAATTCCTTTGTGACCCAAGCTGAGATGATGAGAAATGCCCCACTGGCTCCTGGCTGAGCCTGACTGGGGGCACTGTGTCCCCCCCTCCGCAAGACCAGGGTCCAGCCGCACGCAAGGGGTCCTGGCCTCATGGCTAGAGTGGGAGGGGATGGGCTTTGATCCAACGGCAGCTGGCCAGGAGCGGGGCAGAGGAGGCGGGAAGGACAGCCCCTGCCCTCTGCACAGACATTTTTTGGCGGGCCAGCCCCACGGCTCACACCCCGTGACAAGACTCTGCACAGGACAGCCCCCCCTGCCACATCAGCACCAGAACCACCAGGAACCCCCTTCCCTCCTCTCCCCACTGTCCTCTCTGCCTTCAGCACAATGCCAGCCTGGCGCCCTGCCCCATGGTTCAGCCCGGCCAGCCGGACCCCCAGGCTTGGTTCCCCTAAACCTCCACGCTGCGGGGACAATGCTGACTTCACCAGCATGCACAGCACTGGCTGGTGTATCGGCAGGTGGCAGGGGGATGAGAGGGCATGGGGAAGCACAAGCAGAAGATGCTGCAAAAAAGGGTGCAGTAGGAGAACAATGGGGTGAAACAGGAGATGGGGGACACAGGCCCAGAACAGGGACTGGGAGCAGATTATAAAAATGCCTGGGTGCACACGCTGGCAAGTTTATAAAAATGTACAAAAATAAGATATTCCCTTTGTGAAAATTAAGTAGGAATGTCCCCCAAGGCCCCCATCCCTGCCACTGCCCACCAGGACAGGGCTGCCCAGCCAGCCCTGCCAGACAGGCACATGTCACCCTCCACCCAGCACTCCAGGCAGGTTGCCTGTCCCACGGTGGTGGCAGCAGCTGCTCTGGCAGAAACTGATGTTGTCCCTGGTGACACTCACAGCCCTGTGGGGAGCAAAAATCATGTTAGCATGCACCCAGGAAGAACAGCATCCCCTCCCGAGGGCAGGCCAGGGGCAGCCCCTCATACCCTTACCACAGTGGGCCAGATCTGTCCCCCTCCACAGCTCACCTGTGGTCCTGTCACAGGCAGAGGTCCCCTTCTCGTGGGCAAGGTTGAGGCGGTTCTGCTCGGCGGCAATGCCATTGGCCTCAGGGCTGCTGCTGCGGGCAGGGCTGAGGGACTGGAGGGGGGGCTGGAGGTGGAAGGCCACCTCCAGGTGCTCCTGGGCCAGGCGCAGGTGCTCACGCAGCCGGGCCAGCTCGTGTGCTGGGGGAGCCCCGGCCAGGGTAAAGCGCCCTGCTGCCTGTGCGAGGCTCTCCTGGTAGTCCAGCTTGGCATCGGGCAGGGGGGCTCGCAGTGGCTCCTTCTTCAGTGAGTGGTAGGTAGGGGGTGCACTGGGGGCTTTCTTGGGGTACTGCGGTGAGGGGCTGCTGCTCGCCGGGAGTGGGGAGCTGTTGGTCCGGCTCAGGGCATCGCGGATGCGTCCCACGCCGAGATGCAAGAGCTCGCAGACGTTGAGGAAGAGGCAGAGCCCACTGACAGCGTACATGACGAGGAGGAAGATGGTCTTCTCTGTGGGGCGGGAGACAAAGCAGTCGACGGTGTGTGGGCAGGGGCTGCGACTGCAGACATAGGAGGGGCTCACCTCAAAGTGATACAGCCAGTACTGCCCGAAGAGGAAAGCCATCTCCAGCAGCGAGCGGCACAGCAAGTGCAGCACGTAAGCACGCATCAGCCCGTCCTGCTTGATGCGGCGCCGGCCGTCGTGCTTCTCTCCGCCCTCCGGGCTCTTCTCCTTCTCCACCTCAATCTCTTCAAAGATCATGGGGTCTTCTTCGTTATCATCCTCTGCCTCTTCGTAGTCCCGCCCGGCTCCTCGGCGTACCACCGGCATGCGTGCCCGCTGGGCTCCCGGTGCCCGGCGCCGCAAGGACTCAGGCATGCGGGCGATGCGGTGCATGGCGAAGCCCAGGTAGAGGACAGATGGCATGGCCACCGTGATGATCTGGAAGACCCAGAAGCGGACATGCGAGAGCGGGGCGAAGGCATCGTAGCAGACATTTTCACAGCCAGGCTGTTGCGTGTTACAAACAAACTTGCTCTGCTCATCATAGTAGATGGATTCGCCCCCCACAGCTGTCAGCACGATGCGGAAGACAATGAGGACAGTGAGCCAGATCTTGCCCACGAAGGTCGAGTGGTTGTTGATCTCCTCCAGGAGCCGTGTCAGAAAACTCCAGCTCATCCTGTCCAGGCAGTTGGCTCAAACTCTGCAGGGAACGGGTAGGCAAACAGGCACTGAGCAAACCCATGGGCACCTCACCAGGTCCTGCCAAACCACCAGCCCCAACATCCCTTCCCTCACCCACCAGGTACACAAACACAGCCCTATGCATGCACGCATCTCCCCAAAACCACATCCCCCGCCCAGCACCTCCTCCCCACACTCCTGTCCACATCCTGCTCCCCCCACCCTCACTGCCAGCCAGGTGGGCAGCGGAAAGGCTGGGACGTCCCAGTTCCCTGCAGGACATACCTGGGGGAACAGTCAGCACAGCCACAGTCAGGGTAAACATGGCAGCATGGAGTAGCACCAGCTGAGGAGGGCAAGGGGACAGGCAAGGGACTGACACAGCCTCCTCCACCCACAGTGTCACAGCACCTGTTTGCCACCTGGTCCTGGGCAGGTCCCCAACCAGTGCCACACCCTGGACCATCACCCACACCCTCCCATGGGGGCCCACAGGCCCCTGGAGGAGGGCAACATGCTGGCAGCAAAGCCGGGTGCCAGCAGCCCCTCTGGCTTATTGCAGCTTCCAGCCCTGAATCCCAGCCAAGAGGTCTACCCCAAGCATCATCCCCCTCCATGTGCTCATGAGCCAAGTCCTCTGCACCCCACAGCTCTCCCTCAAGGGCTTGGAGAGATGCAGCATCACTGCCTCAACAAATCTCCATGCTGTGCCCTCTCTCCCGTGGGACCCCAACCCCCCCATCCTTATGAGCACTTGAAGCCCGGTGACCGGTGCTCAGAGCAACCCACAGCCCAATGGTAAGGGCTTGGGAGGGAGCAGAGGAGGAGACAGGAAGGTGATGGTGAGGAGCAGCGTGAGGCAGCCAAGAAATTGCACAAAGTCCCAGCAGCTGAACACCGGAGGTAGGGGAGGAAATTACAAGGACTGTGCCACAGCTCCTGGCCAAAGGAGAAGACGCAAGGGGAGGCACCCCACTGCCACCCCCAGCCTCTGT